CAGAGCTAAACCCATGCACATATGGTCACCTTACTTTTGATAAAGGAACAAGAATGTACAATGGAGAAAAGACAGCCTCTTAAATAAGTGGTGCTGGGAAAACTGGACAACTACATGTAAAAGAATGAAATTAGAACACTCCCTAACACCATACACAAAAATAAACTCAAAATGGATTAAAGACCTAAAGGTAAGGCCAGACACTATAAAACTCTTAGATGAAAACATAGGTAGAACACTCTATCACATAAATCACAGCAAAATCCTTTCTGACCCACCTCCTAGAGAAATGGAAATAAAAATAAACAAATGGGACCTAATGAAACTTAAAAGCTTTTGCACAGCAAAGGAAACCATAAACAAGATGAAAAGACAATCCTAAGAATGGGAGAAATATTTGCAAATGAAGCAACTGACAAAGGATTAATCTCCAAAATATACAAGCAGCTCATGCAGCTCAATATCAAAAAAACAAACAACCCAATCCAAAAATGGGCAGAAGACCTAAATAGACATTTCTCCAAAGAAGACATACAGATGGCCAACAAACACATGAAAGAGTGCCCAACATCACTAATCATTAGAGAAATGGAAATCAGTACTACAATGAGGTATCACCTCACACCAGTTAGAATGGTCATCATCAGAAAATTTTCAAACACCTAATGCTGGAAAGGGTGTGGACACAAGGGAGCCCTCTTGCACTGTTGGTGGGAATGTAAATTGATACAGCCACTATGGAGAACAGTATGGAGGTTCCTTAAAAAACTACAAATAGAACTACCATACGACCCAGCAATCCCACTACTGGGCATATACCCAGAGAAAACCATAATTCAAAGAGACACATGCACCCCAATGTTCATTGCAGCACTATTTACAATAGCCAGGTCATGGAATCAACCTAAATGCCCATCGACAGACAAATGGATAAAGAAGAAGTGGTACGTATATACAATGGAATATTACTCAGCCATAAAAAGGAACGAAATTGGGTCACTTGTAGAGACGTGGATGGATCTAGAGACTGTCATACAGAGTGAAGTCAGAAAGAGAAAAATATCGTATACTAACACATATATGTGGAACCTAGAAAAATGGTACAGATGAACTGGTTTGCAGGGCAGAATTAGAGACACAGATGTAGAGAACAAACGTTTGGACACCAAGGGGGGAAAGTGGCAGTGGGGGGTGGTGGTGGGATGAATTGGGAGATTGGGATTGACATGTATACACTAATATTTATAAAATAGATAACTAATAAGAACGTGCTTATAAAAATAAATAAAATAAAATTCAAAAAAAAAAAAAAAAACCCACCTGGCTCTCCATCTCTTACTCTGGAGGAAAACTCAACAGACTTGCAAATCTCCTTAGTAGGCTTGCAAAACCCAACACTGATGCTTCCTGTCGCCTGCTGTTACAGAATGCAAGTTCGTGTGCCTGGCCCACAGGCCAAACAATACCGAAACATAGAGATTTAGTGCAGAGAAAGGTTTATTGCAGGGTTATGCAAGGAGACGGCGGCTCATGCCCCCAAAAAGCCCAGACTCCCCAAAGGGTTTCAGCAAAGCCTTTTTAAAGGCAACCTGAGGGAGGGGTGTGGTTGGTTGTTGCAGATTTCCTGGTGTTGGAATCCTTTGTTCTTGCAGCTGTCGGTGTAGGTCAGGTCACGATGTTCCTGTAAACCTCCAACAAGACAAATGTTAGTCTCTGTTCTGCAACTTTTCATCTCTATATGAACAGAAAAGTATTATACCCTTAAAGGTCAGAGCCTTGAGAATGGGTTTTCCTGTCTATTTCAGGCTATAGGCAACATTCTTAACTCAGAGCAAAAGCAATGGAATACAAAGGTTAAAGTAAAAGAAACATTGCTGATATGGAGTCAGATTCGTTCTTCCCTATCACACGGCGCCCCCTAGAATCATCGGAGATTCTGGTTCAGGTTCCAGTGCCCACGTGTGGGAATCGTGGTTAGACTCTGCAGGCGGTGGTAAAGTGTATAACCTGGGTGGAGAACCACAGTGTCTTTTGCTTTTACCTCTACTCCCGGCCTGCCTTCTCATGCCCTCATGCCCCCTCCCTCACACTGTATGCACTGTGTCCCGGATCCTTCCTCACTCTTCCCTCTACTGGCCCCCATGGCTGGCTCCTGTGGTCATTTGGGTCATGGTTTAAATAACTGCTCCCTGAGGAGCCTTCCTGACCACCCCGGTCCTCCTTGACCATGTGGCCATGATTCTTTTTCATCACAGCACCTACCTGATACTTTGTAGCTGGTTTGTTAATTATCTGACTCCTCCTTCAATAATGAAGTCTCATGGTGGCAGGATCTTACCATTTTTATTTTCTTCTGAGCATTCCCTGGAGGCATAGTAGTGGCTCATTAAATATAGGAGGCAGGAAGAAGAAAGAAGAGAAAGGGATTTTGGATTGGTCTCCTGGGAAATGGACCAACACGTGTCAGGGCGACCAAAAGATGAAATCTGCAACCACGGGTTGGTGGCCGTGTTCTGAGGTTGAGGGCATGTGTGGACAGGGCTGGACTGATCTGGACGGAAATCCAGCTCTGCCACTCACTCATTCACTGCATAAACCTGAGCAGGAAACCCTTGGCCCTTTGAACTTTGATTTTCCAACCCTGAAATACAAAAGAAATATGAGTATGTCACAGGGTAGGTGTGAAGATCTATGGCGATCCAATAAACACTAGCTGTTTATTATAAGTAGTAATGTTGACCCTCAGGTGTCACCCTGCCCCCTCCCCTCTTCCTGCCGCTTTCCCTCTCAAAGTGCCAAATAGGGTTCTTTTTACTCTAGCGAGGCTGGGAGCCATTAGCGACACACTTGATTATTTCAAACAACTTCCTCCAGGAAGGTAGAGCCTCGCTTTCTTGCTCTCTTCCATCCCATCCAGAAAGCATCCCCACTATCTGTCACATGGGCCTGGTGCTGTTATGAAAACTCAGAATCAACAGCAACCAGCGAGGTGTGGGGTGGAGCCCGCCAGCTGGGGTGGGCCCTCTTGGATACAGACATGCTTGTTTTGCACCTAACGTGGGCTGCTGGGCCCAGAATTGAAACTTGTGCTGAGACACAGCGGGCGGAGAAGAGTTCAGAAAACAAAACAGTGGAGGTGCCAGATAGCTCACGTTTGCTTTTGTTTCCTCTTGGAAGTAAGACCAGAGCTTCATTGTGGTATCAGGTGCTCAAAAGAAACAAACCGAACCAAAACAAAAACAGAACTAACTTCTGAGGGGAGACCACATACGATTGAACTGAGATTACAGAAATATTGTAAATGCACTTTGTAACGTTTCTGTTCCCTTGGGGTACCGTGCATCTGTTCACGTCACCCTTTCCCTAATCCTGAGTGGCTCCTGAGGAATGCTGGTGCATACCCAGGGGGGAGTCTCTGTCGGAGGCTCCTTCTCCCTGCCTCAGTGGGGGTCTTCAGGCGGACACGTATTTGCTTGTCCAAGACGCTGACTGCCTTAAGGTGACAGCCCATTTCTTTGGAATGCTGCTGGGATTTTCCTGAGGTCCTGGGCTCTGGCCGGGCCCTGTCTGGAGGGTGAGCAGAGGGCGGGCGCTGGGAGGCGTCTCTGCAGATCAGTCTTCATGGCGACATTGACTCTCCTGGTTCACACGGCCCAGTGCCTTTCCAAACACTGGGGACGTTTTCCCTTCCCTGGGAAAACTCTTCTGATTTCTTTCTCTTTTCTTCCATTTTTCCTTTGACTCTTGTCTCTGAAGTTGAATAATGGCGCCACCTTTTTCTTTGATGTTTATAACCAGACAGAATTCAAGTTTAGCCACTGTGTTGTTTCCATCTTGTAAATCGGTAGCTGTGTTACAGTTCCCCAGAGGGGAAGAGATGTCTTCGCATCCACGCCTCTATCCCACCTTCTTGTATATTCCTGGAAAAGTCGGTATATTCTCAAGCCTGAGAAATCTTCGGTGGCTCCACTGGAGTATTGAGCGAGGGGGGACAGGCCCAGGTGGGGGAGACTCATAGAAACATGGTGGAGTCTTGGCTGGGGGCCACAGGGAGCCCACTCTGCAACTCCATGATTGAAGGACATCGAGTCACCTGTCTGCTTGTGCTGAATGAAGGCAGGGGAGCTGGTTACCATCCAGGGGTTCCAGACAGTATGTGTGGCAGCTGCTCAGATGCATCCCCATGCAACAAGCACCCCTATGCAACATTTCTGCGTGCCAGCCTCTTGGCTAACCCGTAGGGCTGAGTCTCATGGGGTTTTCAGAGTTATCGCAGAAAGGTATACACAGTTTTTGAAAAAACACAGACCATTTTCAAGTGTGCCATCTGTAAACATCTTGTGATGAGCAGTGTGTACTTTCATTAAAAAAATTCCAGACTCACAGTCATCTTTAGCCACCGTGTACTTTCTTAAAGGGCACTAGACAGACATTACTCTTATGTTGTCCGTTACATTTTCTGACCTTGGAAAGGGCTAATCCCTCCATTAGAAAGGATGCAGAGGCCGAGCCTCCCTGATGGAGACTACAATTGTGAGTGAAAGTTCCTGCTCTGAAAGTGTTCTAGCAATTGTGGGAGATTTCCTTGTCCTCAGAGGCACCAAAAACCTAGTGTGGAGATATTTTGTGGATGGGATGACCTCACACCCAGGGCCCTGCACCCAGAGTGACACTGAAACACATTTCCGTGCCACAGTGGCACTACCCCAGTAAACTCTGACTCTTCATTGCTAAATGCGGCATGCAAAGGAATCACTGACCATAAAGTCGAGTAGATGTTAACCTTGAACTTCATGCCCGTGTTTAACTGTTCGTTGATTTCAATACAACTGTGCCTGGTGTGTGTGTCTACTGAGTCCTGCTGTGTTTGTAACAGACTGGGCTTAGATTAGGGATGGATAACAGAGAGTTAACTAAGCCCACCACGATGTTTCTCTAGAAATGTGCAACACCTGTACCTTCCGAAATTAATCCCCTGTCCACTTTTTTTTTTTTTCCAGATAACTTGTTCAAACCGAAAGAAAGGTACATTTCAGAGAAGGAGATGCATATGCGATCTAAAAGGTACTCGATTATATTGTGTGCGGTCAAAAAAAGTGGGGGAGGAGGGAGGAGGGATGGCTTGATGGATCCAGGCACTGTCCAGCTGGGCCACTATTTCTAGGTCCACGTTTAAGCTCTGAGGTCTTCTTGGCCGTGGATTTGAAAAGCTGTGTCTGAAAGAAGTGGAGTTGTTGAATCGCGCCTCTGAATGCTAATGTCGTTCTTGGAAAAACCTTAGGAACGTGGTGGGTCTTGGATTCTGAGCCAGTCCTGTAATTGGCCTCTAAGAGATCCCCAGACTCATAACAGGAATGTTTCTGCACTTTCCCATCGTTGCTCTGGGCAGGTGCTGTTTGTCACTGTGCACCTTTGCAGGTAATTTTATGAGGAGGAGAGAAGCTAGGTCTCCTGAGGGCCTTGACAGTGGCAGAGCCTGGAGAAAAGCATCCAGGCTTGGAGGCCGATGGTGCGTGGGGCCAGCGAAGCCACAGAGGGCCACGAGCCGGCCTTTTTGGCACCGCATCGCCGGCGGGCTTGGCGGCCCTGCTGCCCACAAACTCTCCCTGTCCTGCTTGGCTGGTTGCTATTCTAGACGCCCACTCGTTCTCACCAACACACAAAGGCTGCCATTCTTTCTGAGACCTGGCCTCCCAACCCAAATGTAATAACTTGACAGAGTTTGCCAAGTTCATCCAAGTAAAATGCCATTAGCTTATAATAAAGTATCTAGCACTGGGAGGACCTATAACAATTTAACCAAATTGATAGCACAGCTTAGAGAAGCCGTTAAAATAGGAAGAATACATTTCTCCCCACTCCAGGCGCAAAATCTCTGCTTTCCCATGATTGTATTGTTTCCATGACGATTAGCCAACTTTGATTAGCTGTAGGGAACCTCTTTGTAAATAAAAAAGTAAAAGTGAGGAGAAAGGGGACCATCCCATTAATGACCCACTGCACAGCTTTCTAACTGGGTTTTTAAAGGGCCACTGGGTTTCAAGACCTGCCGTTGCGGAAGTGCAAAGTTGTGTATACCTCATGCCAAAAGTATTCCTTTTTCAATTTGGTGGAAAATGCAGCCACATCTTCCCCTCCTGGTCCCTACGTCCAGAGCTGCTATCATGGAGACTTGAAATTAAAATGTAGATCTCAAAGCAGCCTTCGTGGACAGAACATCACCATATCATTCTACTGAGAGGAGACTGAGGCTCTGAGAGGACCGATGGGCAGAGTGAAGCTGTTCCCCACATCATGGCTTCCCTGGCTGGAAGCCAGGTCTCCTCAGATGCGGTCAGTAACAGGACTTCCACTCTGCTCTGTGGGCTGTGCCCTGGGTGGGCTCAGACCCCGGTTCTCAGACCTCACGCACCCACAGAATCACACTGGAGCTTCCTTTTCTTTTGTATTCTTTGTTATCGGTTATATTATTAAATTACATTTTCATTAAAAAGAATTCAAACAGAGGAGAGAGAGCTGAAGTCCCTCGTGACTGACTGGCCCCCCTCCTGCCCCACCTCCCAGCCTTGTACTTTCTCCAGAGACACCACAGTTATCAGCATCCTATATATCATTCCAGGCCTTTCTCTCTGCCTGAAAATAGACGTTTATTTGTACGTCTATTTAGACGTACAAATTAGAGAACTATTTAGTATCTAATTAGGTAACTATTATTAGTTATCTAATTCTTAACCATAAATGGGATCATGCTATATGCAATATTATCTTTCTGTAGCTTCTTTTACTTCGTGTCTGTGAGGTCTTTTTCTGTGTCAGAAGACATGGGTGATTCTCCTCATTGATGCAGAGTGGTCCATTGTACAAACGTGCCATAATTTATTGAGGATGTTAAGAAAATACTGCAGCAGAAGCTCCAGGGCTGAGGCCTGGGAATTTTTATCCTAAACTCCCCACAAGATCAGATGGTCAAGATCGGGAAGGTGCGTGTCTGTGGATCCAGAAGGAGTTCCACTGTGGAGCTTTGGGACATGTCAGATTTCCTACTGACCCTGACAGACTTCTCCTGGTCCCCTCTAGCATTGCTCTTCGATGTGGCAATCGTGTGTTCATTTAGATCATGTCGATGCCCTCAGTGTGCCAGGCACTGTGCCATGTGCCAGCAATTCCCAGGTCACTCTACACTACATGATTGGGGAACAGTGTTGCATGAAGTCAGACAGACCGAGGCCGGACTCCCAGCCCCTCATTCACCAGCCGAGGGACGCCACTGGCCTCCTGACCTCGCTGGGGATGGGTTCCTCACTCCCATAACAGCAGGACACTGGACGGTGTCTCTTCCAACTGTCGTGAGGGCTACCCGGGAAAATTCATGTCAGATGATTAGCTAGTAAGGAACCCTCTTGCACTGTTGGTGGGAATGTAAATTGGTGCAGCCACTATGGAGAACAGTATGGAGGTTCCTTTAAAAACTAAAAACAGAACTACCATATGATCCAACAATCCCACTTCTGAGCATATATTGAGAGAAAACCATAATTCGAAAAGACACATGTACCCCAGTGTTCACAGCAGCACTATTCACAGTAGCCAGGATATGGAAGCAACCTCAGTGTCCATTGACAGATGAATGGATAAAGAAGACGTGGTCTACATATGCAATGGAATATTACTCGGCCATAAAAAAGAATGGAATAATGCCATTTGCAGCAACATGGATGGACCTAGAGATGATCATACTAAGTGAAGTAGGTCAGACAGAGAAAGACAGATATCATATGATATCAATTATATGTGGAAGCTAAAAAATAATGATAGAAATGAACTTATTTGCAAAACAGAAAGACCCACAGACATAGAAATCAAACTTACGGTTACCAAAGGGGGAAGGGCGGGAAGGGTAAATTAGGAGTTTGGGATTAACACATACACACTACTATACATAAAATAGATAACCAACAAGGACCTACTGTATAGCACAGGGAACTAGAATCAATACTTTGTAATAATCTATAAAGGAAAAGAATCTGAAAAATAATATATATGTGTATGTATAACTGAATCACTGCTGTACACCTGAAACTAACATAACATTGTAAATCAGCTATATTTCAATAAAAAATAAATAGATAAAAATTTTTTAAAGGTAAATTCATAAAAAGATTATTAGCCCAGTGCCCTATAGCCAAGACAGTGTCACCTGCTAATATTGTCATCATCAATACTTGTATAGTTTGTAATTATTATTTTAAGAGAGCAACATGTTAAACAAATTTTGTCTGGCTTTCAAACATGAGAGAAAATAAAACAAGAGATGTTAATGCAAGTGCCACGTGTACAGCACCCCAAAAGCTCAGGCTACAGCGTCTCCTCTGTGTCTGTGGATTCCAGCAGAAATCTTGTTTGGCATCAGTACGTAAACAATTTCTGTAGGGAAGTCAGAAGAAAGGGCCCAGAAGAAGGATCCCTCAGGCCCTGCTTATGTCTTGGAAGCTGCTAATTTTACACCAGGACAAGAACATAATATCAATACATATGCCTGAGAGGTATTTGGAAACAGCTTAATTAGGAATGCAGTAGGTAAAGAGGCAGACACACACGTATTTTATGTGTGTGTCATTCCAGTACAATTCCTGCTACTTCCATTGATTCGCTGCTCTTTTTCTAAGTCATAGGAAGACAAAAATTGAGTGGCAAAAAGGTATTTGGTAAAAGGTAAGTTTACGCTCAGAGTGGCAAAGCGTAGGTCTAGAATCTCTCATTTTACAAGCAAGTGGTTAATTATCGTAGAAGATGGAGAGACAAGAAAAGTGACTTCTGATTAAACACCCGGCCTCTCCAGCTTTGCCCTGGGTGGGGCTCCATCTGCTGCGTGGCCCCTGCCTGGGCAGTCCCATCTGGAGATGGTCAGGGGAGCCCCGGGTCTTGGGGTCTCACAGATGCGAGGTGGCCCATATGCAGCTGATCGTCCCTTTGAAATGGAAGAGCCTGCTGACAAGAGAGGACACAGATCCACAGCAGACACACGCTATCTCGCTACCATTCAGAATGTTTTCTGAATCTGTTTCAGAATCTATAATAACTTGCCGGAAGTTAGAAAGAAAAAAGAAGAACAAAAGAAAAGGGTGATCTTACAGAGTAACAGACTCCGGGCCGAAGTCTTCAAAAAGGTAATGGCCCGGCCGCCAGCAGGTGTGACGTGTGTGTGGTGCCCAGATGCTGACTCTGAACTTGACTTCTTTGTCTCTAATTCCCTAGCAATTACTGGACCAGCTCCTTCAAAGGAACGCAGTCTAACCACAGGCTGCCCTGCTGACCCTCTACCTGGACCTGGGACGACTTCAAACGCTGGATAAGCCATTAAACTTAGCATTATCTTCATGACGTGAAATACTTATTTTACTTTTGATTTTTTTTTTTCCATAAAGGAAAGCATAGCTTCCCGAATTGCTGACCCAAACCAAGCAGAAACAAAACTCCTTGAGGAAATGGATCATCAGACCGCAGTGGGGTAATCAACTCAACTGAACCCACTCGATACGGTCCCTTCATTTTTTTTACTTCTGAATTTTATCTTTTGCTTCTGGTTTTTCCCCCTACCATTTCCACTCAGGCAGAAAGGTCTTCTATGCTCAAGCGGGCTTAGATCCCTGGGAGCTGGGGGTTTTTTTTTCATTGAATTTCTAGGACCTAAAATACATCACTTTCAAAATACCAATCTCAACTTCTGCCAGTTCTGCAAACTCCAAATTTGGGGATATCACACAGTGTGTTTGCAACCTCTCTGGGTGTGTGTGCCATGTAATACTGAAGGCAAACTTTGGAACTAGGCGGGCGCTCTGCCAGGGGCTGGGGACAAATGACCTGTTTCTTGGTGACCTGGGGTGATCAGAGCAGCCCTCACTACTCCCACCCTACTCCCAGGACCTGCCTTTGTTTAGCAGAAGAGCCTATTTCCATGGAAGCCATGAGGGCAGAATTGGCTGAAAAAAGTTGTAGGTAACTTCAGTGTTTTCTGTAAACCGTCCAGCCCCCAGAAAGAGCTGTGTTGCTGAAAATGGCCTGATGGCTCCAACTCTAACGTTTGTTCCTCCAAACAATTACAATGTCCATTATTTATAAATGTGCATTTGGGGAGTGAAGAGCAATAGCTTTATCAAAAATGGAAATAAATGCAATTATTACAAAAATTAAAGTATTGCTCTTTTCCGTGTTCTGTGTTATGAACCAAGCAGCCAGTACAGATGGTGCTCAGAGAGAAATGTCACCAAGGTCCAGTGGGGACCTCTGACCTGCGCCTGTGCCACCACCTTCTGACCATCACAGCCCCCAGGTCAGGGCCCTTGTTCTTCCCGAGGCCTGGGGAGAAGGTTTTCCCCAGAGAGCTGGCATGAGAGGTGTCAGGATGTTGCTGAGAGCAAGGTTAGGATCCTGAGGTCCCCACATCTCACCAGGAATCTCCCCGGGAATGAGAAGGCGGTTTAGGGGATTAGGCAGGAGCACTGGTGACACTTCTGCCCCTTTCCCTCCTCCCACGGCTGCATACACCATCCCCTGTTCCTGGAATGCCTTTCCTCTGCGTATCTGCTGGAAAACTATTTGAAAGCTTAGCCTGAGTTCTCTCCTGTCGCGTCTCCTCTGCCCTGCCCTCGGTATGGATGGGCACTTCACTCTGGGTGCACGTGGCATCAGAAGCTGTGCCGTGTTGCCCAGCAAGGTGATCTGACCACATGCCAACTGTGAGTGGAGACTCTGGATTCATGTCCTGGCTGCACTGCGCCCTGCTCTGTGGCTGTAGGCAAGGGTATCAGTCTGGACCCCCTCAGGAGAGAGGAACCTCACAGCGACGTGAACAGGGAAATTTAATGTACGTGGTTATAAACCATAAGAGAGGATTGGAGTGATGCGGGATTGGCTACTGAGCAGTAAAGAGAACTTAGAAGAATACAGGTGGGAATAGCAGTTAAAGGAGCAGTGCTGCCCTGAGGACAGGTGCTCCCCGGGCTCCTGGGCGAAGATCTAGATATTGTTGGAAACTGTCTCCTTGGAGGCACTCTGCTACAGCACCACCTGAGGGAGGTGCTGGCGTAGGCAGCTGGCCACCGAGTGCCGCCGGTAGCTTGACCTGCAGGAACCGGGTGGGTGGATGGGGGGGTGCACGTTTGCAGGGACCTTGAGCCACTGTCCCTGGTGTGGGAACCATGCCCTTCTCCTCCTGCAGTGTCTCCCCCGCTCCCTCTACTGGCAAAGCATGGCAGTGTGCCAGCAGGTAGAGGGGAAACATTGCAAGGGCCTGGATCCATTTTAACAGAGAAGGCAAAAAGGCTGCCTTTGGAGGTGTGGGATGATAAACTGACTGGTGTGGCCAGTTATTTAACCTTGCCTCAGTTTGCTTATCTATCAAATGGAGATAGGTTTGTTATAGGAATGGAATAAGTGTGAGTTGAGTGCTTAGAAGGGTACCTGGCCCAAAGCAAATAGCCTGAGTGTGTCCTGTGATAGGTACATAGACGTGGAAGTAGAGTGTCCTGATAAACCCTGAGCACAGAGCCAGCAGTTGTTCATTCTCATAACCCCTCAGCTTGGCACTGAGAAGGTGCACCAAAAAGACTGTTGAATTTGTAGACGTTGCTACAGCAAAAATCAGTCGTACAAACCGGACGCTTTGCAAAGTGTTGTCTCTCAAGCTCTTCTCACTCTTAGAGACAATTTCAACAGCATGGTTAGGCTTGCCCTTAAGCTTAATTCGGCTTTTGTGAAGTTACTAGGCCTCTTCCGGATTTTTTTTTTTCACCGAATCTGATATTAGTTTAGGGCAGTCTTTCTTGGGTAGCTGTCCTGCCACACCTTTTTCTTATTTTTCTTTAATATCTTCAGAGAGTTTCCAAAGCTTTCCCTAACCAATGATTTAAATTCAGGGCCCACCACTTCTAGACAGTTCTGTGACACTTTCTAAAAAGTGGATTTATGTGAGCTAACATCTGAATATCTCAGAATGCCTCAACGGAGCCAGCTTTCAACAGTGTCCACGAAGGGCTTCCCCCTCTTTGCAGACCTGATGCCAAGTGTTTAAATCAAAAAGCCCACCTGAGATTAAATGCCACTGAATAATGTATTTCTTAGGCCGGTCTTAGCTAAGGTGCCTGAAGTAAGTAGTGGGTAGGAATATACGCTGTCTGGCTTGAGCCGGGCTTCCCTCTGGACAGCCAGCTCAGGACAAGGCTGAACATTAAAGTTTTGGTTTCCGCTCGACTGATTTCTTCTCTATTATTGTAGTTGTTGTTTTTTTTGTTTTTGAATGCTGATGAGTGAATTTCAGGTATCCAGCATTTCTCTTCTGTTATAATGAGGTTGTAACAGAAATATAATAATGTTATAATAAATATGGAAGTAAAGGTTTGAATCATAATAGCTGTCCCTCTAGTTCTGTCAGGAATTGGTCACCCACGTGCTGGATTCTCGTATTAAAATCAGGCTTCGGGAAAGACTAGGGTTTTGAAATTCTAAGTAGAATTTATCATTGTAACTTCAATAATCAAATTCTGTCCTAGAGCTGATTTCTTTTCTTTTTTTTTTTTTTTGCGGTACGCGGGCCTCTCACTGTTGTGGCCTCTCCCGTTGCGGAGCAACAGGCTCCGGACGCACAGGCTCAGCAGCCATGGCTCACGGGCCCAGCCGCTCCGCGGCATGTGGGATCTTCCCGGACCGGGGCACGAACCCGCGTCCCCTGCATCGGCAGGCGGACTCTCAACCGCTGCGCCACCAGGGAAGCCCATAGGGCTGATTTCTTTACCACTAAGTTTGTTTGGGTTCTGGCATGGAGCAATCCTTCAATGATAATGCAAGTAGCAGGAGTTAAAGTTTTGTAGCTGGTATTTGTGAGCTCGGACCAGGCAACATTTGAGATGGACAGACCAGACGGTCCCAGCACCAGCCTGCCTTCCTGTGGTCTCCATGACTTCACGTCGAAGGAGAAATGCCTCTTTTGGTGATTTGTCCTCTCTGCCAGCTGGTAATGGAATAATGGAAAAACAATTGCCTGGGTTTTTTTTAGCCAGCGTCTATTGCCAATCCAACTTCCTGGAAGCTGTGTGCTCCCTGGGTGAGTCAGCAAATGCTTGCTCAGATGAAACAAGGCTCATTGAAAGAACTATTTGCGAAACAACCAACTGTTGAAGAGCGTTTGAAAATCCTATTCCCTCAGAAGTCCTCCCACGTCAGCACTTGTCGGTATAAAAGTTGCAGGCCATGGACCTGGTCTCCAACCACATCAAGTGGCCGACGGTCTGAGCATGAGGCAGAACAAGAGGAAGGGGATGTGCGGCCACCTCGCCCCACTGGAGGGACTCTGACAGCAGGGACAGGCCGGTTCTGGGTTAAGGAAGTAAGAACGTGATGGCAAAAACAAAAAGGATTCACTGTGGGTTTGTGTGAGAGTGTGGGCATGTGCATTAAAAGCAAAGGAGATGACCTGTGAAGTGATTAAAATGAGTCTATCAGCAGATGGTTCTCCGTTACAGAGTTCACTGTATTTGTCCTTTCATCAGTACTTGGTAATGACCCACGAATGTCTAGCTAAATAGAAACCTTTTGGAATCGGCTGTCCCTGAGCTGCACGAGCCACCCCAAGGGCTGAAACACTTTGGAAGTCGCTCCAGCCTCCTCTGTCCCCCGTGGACACGATGTCCCCCACTTCTCTGGAGAGCAGGCTGTCAGAAACTTCCCTGAGAATCCACGGCCCGTCTCCCCACCGTCGGGCTGCTGGTCTGGGAGAGGAGGGCTCCTCCACGCAGATGTTTTCTCCACATGGAACATAGCGACGATATTGGCACTTTGCCCCCCCAAATGGAGGGTTTCTTTCAAGTCCGTCGGCTGCCTCAGGCAGAGTTCTGATGCTGGGACCCCAAGAGACTGTCTGAGGTAGTTGTCTGGGGTGTGCGTAGCGGGGCAGGCGTTGAAATCCTTCCCATTTCTCTTGCTTCTCTAAGAAGGTTTTCACATCCGCTTCAGGGCGGCTGCTGTCACCTGCCAGACTGCAGCTGGAAACGTGACTTCAAGCAGTGGTCTTTCTCTCAGATCTTCACACATCAGGACCTTGACAAAGGGGTCGGGGGTGGGGAGACTTGCCTTGCCTCTAGGACCTTCAAAAAGGCTGGCTTGTTCTTATCAAAGCTTAAAAGGGAAGAGAAAGAAGTTTTGGGGTCTGACTTGCAGCTGGGGAAAAACAATTAAGGATTTCTTTAAATCTTTTGGATGAGACAACGCCAAGCGTGAAAGACATAGGAAAAATGTCCTGTGGATGACTTTCAGAACATCCTCCCTTTGTGCAAATAGCTGAACTTTGCTGACATGCCTGAAATGGGGCAACAGCTGTAACTGACATCAGAGGAAAGATATTACAACCGTTACCCATGTTAACTGGATACGACGTGTGATATCTTTTCATCAGAGCCGACGGGGCCGCCTGCCTTACTTGCCCACTGATGTCAGCAAGAGGGAAATTATAAATCTTTTCACTGCTGCCTATTTATAAAGAAATAAACCCACACTGTGTGTTAAATCCACTGTGGTTCCTCGTGACTGTTGTTATTACACGGATACTGAAGGAATTAGCAATGATCCACTTAACGGTTATGTGTTGCCAAATGTGTGCTTACCATTAAAAGCTATTGAGCTCACGTACAGAATTTTTGTGTTTGTTTTTGTTTAAAAATATACCTGGAGGCTGCTTAGGCCAGATTTAATTATTATATGCTGACATAATTGTAATTCCAAGTCTTTCTCTCTCAGCTGAAACGTTTATTAAATCAAAATGACAAAATAATCCAGGATATTTTTCTGGGTTTTTGGTAGCCCGTGACATTTCATTAGCAAGGCTAAGCCTGCGTCTCTACGATGGATAAGAAAGATTTGTGCATGGATTAAACTGGGGTGTGTAGACATCAGTATTTCTAGATGGTGAAATTGATTCTAATTGGTGATATATGCTTTTGCGGAATTTGTTTCAGATTGGGGTGTTTCAACCCTAATTCTCAATTAGCAGTCAAGCAAGATTCCTCTACCTCCCAGCCCCCACCCCCCACGAAGTGATCTTGGATTGGTCGACAGTGAGCATCCTCCGAACAGAAAAGAGGAGCTTGAACAGAAAACTGCTGAACCCAGGATCCCATCCAAGTGTTTCTAAAAATGATAGCTTAGAATTTTTTTTTTTTTTTGAGTGTTAACCACGTGTCACACAGGGAGACATTTTCCCTCTATCCCTCTTAGGTTCTCAGGGCTCTGTAACAAAAAAACAGACTAAGAAGACCAAGACAAACAAGTTTATTAACATGTAGTCTCATATACACACGGGAAGAACTCAGGGATGAGTAAAACAGAGTCTCAGATGTGCTTTCAGGTCCTCAGATAGCAATGGACCCGTTACTGACTGAATGTTTGTAACTCCACAAACTCACTTTGTGAAGCCTTCACTCCCTGTGGCTGTATTTGGAGATGGAACATCTATAGAAATAATTAAGGCTAAGTGAGGTCACACGAGGGTGGGGCCCTGATCCGGCAGGACTAGTGTCCTTATAAGAAGAGATGGCAGAGGGCTGGCACTCTGTGTCTCCGAGGGCACAAGGAAGAGGTCGTGTGAGCACACAACAAGAGAGCGGCCGCCTGCAAGCCAAGGGAAGAGACCTTGAAGTGAAACATACCTTGCCGGCACCTTGATCTTGGACTTCTCAGCCTCCAGAAATGTGACAGATTTACGTTAGAAAAGCCCCTCGGTATGTGGTATCTCATATGGCAGCCCGAGTAGACTAAGACAGGACCCTTGCTGTCCTCTGCATCCACGCTGTTCCTTGCCTGTTCTACCGGCATCTGCTATCCAAGTCCATAGCAGGCGAGCTCTCTGAGCTTGAGCTGCGGGTTTGCCTCTTGGTGGGTGTCAAGCCAATGGGCACAACCGAGCCAAAGACTGGGAGAAGGAAGGATTTATTATTACTTGCGGCAAGTAAGGAGAACACTGGGGATCCTTCCTAAAGCAGAGTCTCCCAGAACAGCAAAATTGGGGAAGTTTTGAGCTAAAAGTATGTGCATGAGGGGGCTTGCGCAGAGGAGAATTCAGCCTAGAATTAGGGCAAAGGTCCACAGGGTCCAAGCTTTAGTTGACTGAAGTCAGGAGGGTCAACGTCATCATTCTGTCCTGGGGGCCTTTGTTCCCGCAGAACTCAAAGATATATTGTCAGGTATATCCCTTGAGGAGGCCCAAGGACTCTGTTATCACTGCAATCTTACTTGACTGACTTTTCTCCTGTTCAAGGGCAAGCCTTGCGGCCAGGCTGAGATCACAAAATGGCTTAGGCCAAAATGAGTTCTTTTATGTCAAGAAAGCCATTCCTGCTTCTCTTTCTCCGGGGACCCCCAACCTATCTGCTTACACGGAGACTCCCCTAGACCCCCAGTCCCGGTGCTTGCATCCCTTGTCTACAAGGGCACTTTGCTCTCACTGGCATAACTCCCTTGCTAGTTTGCCAATCAGTACCATTAGCTTCCCTGTCTACCCATGGAGCATACAGGAACTTCCCAACACCTTCCTGCATGCCCCATGGAAAGGTCTGGAAACACGCTGGAGAAACAAAGCCCTTCTTCTGTCCAAACTAGAGGAAGTGGATTTCTCCTCTATGTCGTATTCTAGATTTCCTCTGCCTCTGACATATAGATAGATAATCTCCAAGATCGAGTCTCTTAGGTGGAGCCCTTGCCATGCTAATGAAACCCAAGGAATTCTGAAAATTACCTTCTCCTCCCCCACAGAGCTTGGCTTTCAAGACTGTTGTCTCATGAAATATATTGAGAGAGTGGGTTTCAGGGCTCAAGTTGCTCCAGGGTCTCTTTTTGTTTTCTGAGATGTCGCCATTCCTTTCTTTCCTGGGGGAAGAAAAGTCTCAAGGCTAATGAACAGACACATTGACAAATCATTAACATTTCACATGGGCGGGTAGGTGGGTAGGCTTCTGACTGGACTGGCTTCCTTTTAATAGGAGGTGGAGTGGTGGTCTGTGTGTGCATGAGTGTGGGCTAGGGGGCGGAGACAGTTTCTAAGTCAGATAAGAATGGACTGTTATGGTGTTAAAATCACCCTTAAAAATCCCTAAGTGCTATCTGGAAGGCAGACTAACTTCTCTCCATGCTCTGAAACAGATCGATTGAGCAACTAAAGAAACCGGCATGTTTAGGGGATGTGATACACACAAAAAGTTTCTTTTAAAATTACTAGAATCCCACTCAGCACAGTGAGGCAAGACCAGAGATTCCCACCTCCCATCTGGTCCCCCAGCAGGGCAGAGGCCTGGGGCATCACCCCTTGCTGTTTAAATTGTTCCCCTCCCTCCTCTGAGCTGGTCTCTGAATTAAGAAAAGCCCACGAGTGTGGTGTGACCCCCGGAATAATCTCCATTTTACATGAGGAAGTGGAGTAAGCGGGGGAGGACGGTGTAAGTGGCCCAGGTAATTTCATGTGGGTGGGTTGGGCTGAGTCCTGAACCATGCCAACTTCCCTCCAGAATGTTCGAGCTCTTCATGCTGACACCATGCTGCACGTGTGCACATGTGTCTAAGAATGAAAGGTGCAGACGTACTTTGGCATTTCACTAACATTTTAAGTAACATTACTGACAATGAAGAGACCAGGAGGAATAGATTATCCTTGACGATTTTAGGGTCCCTGGCTGGGCCAGAAAATTAAACTGACAAAGACAGATTAATAGGAGAAAGCAAATTTATTTCAGTTTTCCATGCCATGGGAGCCTTCATTAGGAAATGAACAATTGGGAGTACCTTCAAGATGACAGAGGGGTAAGACATGGAGATCACCTTCCTCCCCATAGATACATCAGAAATACATCTACATGTGGAACAACTCCTACAGAACTCCTACTGAACACTGGCAGAAGACCTCAGAGGTCCCATAAGGCAAGAAACTCCACATGTACCTGGGTAGGGCAAAAGAAAAAAGAAAACACAGAGACAAAAGAATAGGGACGGGACCTGCACCAGTGGGAGGGAGCTGTGAAGGAGGAAAAGTTTCCACACACTAGGAAGCCCCTTTGTGGGCGGAGACGGGGTGGGACGGGGGGAAACTTTGGAGCCATGGAGGAGAGCGCAGCCACAGGGGTGCAGAGGGCAAAGTGGAGAGATTCCCGCACAGAGGATCAGTGCCAACCAGCACTCACCAGCCCCAGAGGCTTGTCTGCTCACCCGCCAGGGCGGGCGGTGGCTGGGAGCTGAGGCTCGGGCTTCAGAGGTCGGACCCCAGGGAGAGGACTGGGGTTGGCTGCGTGAACACAGCCTGAAGGGACTAGTGTGCCACGGCTAGCCGGGAGGGAGTCTGAGCAAAAGTCTGGACCCGCCTAAGAGGCAAGAGACCATTGTTTCGGGGTGTGCGAGGAGAGGGGATTCAGAGCACCGCCTAAATGAACTCCGGAGACAGGTGCGAGCCGCGGCTATCAGCGCGGACCCCAGAGACGGGCATGAGACGCTAAGGCTGCTGCTGCCGACACCAAGAAGCCTGTGTGCGAGCACAGGTCACCGTCCACACCCCCCCTCTGGGGAGACTGTGCAGCCCGCCACTGCCAGGGTCCCGTGATCCAGGGACAACTTCCCCGGGAGAACGCACGGTGCGCCTCAGGCTGGTGCAACGTCACGCCGGCCTCTGCCGCCACAGGCCCGCCCCGCACTCCGTGCCCCTCCCTCCCCCCGGCCTGAGTGAGCCAGAGCCCCCGAATCAGCAGCTCCTTTAACCCCGTCCTGTCCCAGTGAAGAACAGACGCCCTCAGGCAACCTACGTGCAGAGGCGGGTCCAAACCCAAAGCTGAACCCCAGAAGCTGTGCGAACAAAGAAGAGAAAGGGAAATCTCTCCCAGCAGCCTCAGGAGCAGCGGATTAAACCTCCACAATCAACTTGATGCACCTGCATCTGTGGAATACCTGAATAGATAACAAATCATCCCAAAACTGAGGCGGTGGACTTTGGGAGCAACTGTAGACTTGGGGTTTAGTTTCTGCATCTAATTTATTTCTGTTTTATGTTTATCTTCGTTTAGTGTTTAGAGTTTATTATCACTGGTAGAGTTGTTTATGGATTTGGTTGCTCTCTTCCTTTTTTTATATATATAGATATATATATTTTTTTCCTTTTTCTCTTTTTGTGAATGTGTATGTGTATCCTTTGTGTGATTTTGTCTGTATAGCTTTGCTTTTACCATTTGTCCTATGGTTCTGTCTGTCTGGATTTTTTTTTTTTTAGTATAGTTTTTAGCACTTAATATCGTTGGTGGATTTGTTTTTTGGCTTGCTTCCTTCTTTCATTGTTTTTCAAAATTTTTAATATTTTTTAATTTTGTATTTTAATAACATTATTTTATTTTTTTCTTTCTTTCTTTCATTTTTCTCCCTTTTCTTCTAAGCCGGGTGGCTGACAGGGTCTTGGTGCTCCGGCCAGGTGTCAGGCCTGTGCCTCTGAGGTGGGAGAGCCAAGTTCAGGATATTGGTCCACCAGAAACCTCCCAACTCCACGTAATATCAAAGCTCTCCCAGAGATCTCCACCTCAATGTTAAGACCCAGCTCCACTCAACAATCAGCAAGCTACAGTGCTGCACACCCTATGCCAAACAACTAGCAAGACAGGAACACAACCATACCCATTAGCAGAGAGGCTGCCTAAAATCATAATAAGATCGCAGACACGCCAAAACACACCACCATATGCGTTCCTGCCCACCAGACAGACAAGATCCAACCTCATCCACCAGAACACAGGCAACAGTCCCCTCCATGAGGAAGCCTACACAACCCACTAAACCAAACCTAGCCACTGGGGGCAGACACCAAAAACAATGGGAACTACGAACCTACAGCCAGTGAAAAGGAGACCCCAAACACAGTAAGTTAAGACAAATGAAGAGACAGAGAAACACACAGCAGATGAAAGAGCAAGGTAAAAACCCACCAGACCAAACAAATGATGAGGAAATAGGCAGTCTACCTGAAAAAGAATTCAGAGTAATGATAGTAAAGATGATCCAAAATCTTGGAAATAGAATGGAGAAAATACAAGAAACATTTAACAAGGAACCAAAAGAACTAAAGAGCAAACAAACAATGATGAACAACACAGTAAATGAAATGAAAACTTCTCTAGAAGGAATCAATAGCAGAATAACTGAGAGAGAGGAATGGATAAGTGGCCTGGAAGATAAAATAGTGGAAATAACTACCACAGAGCAGAATAAAGAAAAAAGAATGAAAAGAATTGAGGACAGTTTCAAAGACCTCTGGGACAACATTAAATGCACCAACATTCAAATTATAGGTGTCCCAGAAGAAGAAGAGAAAAAGAAAGGGACTGAGAAAATATTTGAAGAGATTATAGTTGAAAACTTCCCTAATACGGGAAAGGAAATAGTTAATCAAGTCCAGGAAGGACAGAGAGTCCCATACAGGATAAATCCAAGGAAAACAGGCCAAGACACATATTAATCAAACTAACAAATATTAAATGCAAAGAAAAATATTAAAAGCAGCAAGGGAAAAACAACAAATAACATACAAGGGAATCCCCATAAGGTTAACAGCTGATCTTTCAGCAGAAACTCTGCAAGTCAGAAGGGAGTGGCAGGACATATTTAAAGTGATGAAAGGGAAAAACCTACAACCAAGATTACTCTACCCAGGAAAGATCTCATTCAGATTCAATGGAGAAATTAAAATCTTTACAGACAAGCAAAAGCTAAGAGAATTCAGCACCACCAAACCAGCTTTACAACAAAGGCTAAAGGAACTTCTCTAGGCAGGAAACACAAGAGAAGGAAAAGACGTACAATAACAAACTCAAAACAATTAAGAAAATGGTAATAGGAACATACATATCGATAACTACCTTAAATGTAAATGGATTAAATGCTCCAACCAAAAGACGTAGACCAGCCGAATGGATACAAAAAAAAAGATGCGTATATATGCTGTCTACAAGAGACCCACTTCAGGCCTAGGGACACAAACAGACTGAAAGTGAGGGGATGGGAAAGGATATTCCATGCAAATTGGAAATCAAAAGAAAGCTGGAGTAGCAATTCTCATATCAGACAAAATAGTCTTTAAAATAAAGACTATTACAAGAGACAAAGAAGG